TGATCAATGAATTTAAAGAATATCAGATAGTTCTATTTGCATCATGCCTGATCTTCTAGCAATTCTGAAAATAATCCTGTGGGTATGTGTTTGATTTAATTAGCCAAGCAATATGAGGAAAAGCACAATAGGTGAGAATGGCCAGGAGGGAAAGAGATGAATGTAAGCAGACAGGACAATTCAGTATTTGTGGGTATAATATTTTCATGGTTATTTTTTGGTTATTTTTGTTTTTGTTTTTGGTTTGTTTGTTTTGTTTTTCTTCTCTTAGGCCACATTTTATTAGAAAGAGCTGGCTGGTTAGATCACTTACAAAACACCGTATCTTGACTTTTCAAAGAAAGAAAAACCTTCACAGAGCAAGGGACTCATGGCAATTCCAGTAATTAATGAGAAGGAAAGAAAAAGGCAAATTTAAACATGTTTGTTGTTTTTTTAGCAGAAAACTTCACCTGGAGCATCATGCATCTTTTAAAGCTTTGACGTATTACTTGAGTTTTAGGTCCTAGAGAAAGTTTTCCAACAGGAATTCTGTTCATACTGATCTCTCCTTTTGCCAAGTTTTCCCAGAGTTCAACTCAAATTCTGCTTTTCAGTGCTAGGACAGGGATACCATCTCTGGGAAGCCATGATTCCCTCAGAATCACCAAAACAATGTAGAAATAAAGACATTAGAGTGAACTGGATTTGCTTTATTTATTGGATTTACCACCCAGTATAAACAAGAAATCCTTTGTTCCCTGTTACGTTGACTTCTTAACATCTCAGAGCTAACCTATATTTCAGACATCACCTGACCCACCCTTGATGAGGTCCCAGACTATCCTAAGTCCAACCTTGCAATCATAACATCAATCCCACATCATGATGTTAAGTGTGTGGGGAGGGAGGTGGTGGCTGTTTGCCAGAGTGGCCACAGTACCACTGTGTAATGAGTGGGGCCATTCCTCTCCACATCCCTGTGGTTAGTAGGAAATTCTTTTCTGCATTTTCTTTCATTTCTGTGTCAGTTTCCTCAACAGTCCACAAATCCTTTTTTTTTTTTGGACAAACTTCCCTGAGCAAAACCTTTCCTTCTTCATGGGACAACTCCTCAAGTTCTCAACAACCACCTAAGTAAAAACACGACAAACATTTGCATTTCAGCCAAAGAAAAACATGTTTAGTTGTCTCGCATTAACATGTTGAATTCCTGTCACAGTGAAAATACTTATGAATGAAAAGCAGGGGGAATTAGGTCAGGTAGAATAGTTTTTCTAGATTATGGAGGACTCTGGTGGTGGGAAAAATAGGGGGCATAATCTAAAAAGGAGAAATGAGAGTTCCCAATGGAAGTAGTCATTCTGGTTTTATTTGTAATAATTGTCAACTTTTCATTTCAACTTTCTTCCAGGTGTTGTTAAATAAGATTAACTGTTTACTTTTCTCCAAATTCAAGAGAAAACAGAAATTTTGAAGAATGCTTTTTAAACTGAGAGTCACATATTTTTAAACAATTAATGCCCCCAAAATTACTTAATTCACCTACCCATCCTGTATGGAAATAATTCTACTGAAATTCTGATTTAATAAGGGAAGAAACCTGAAGAGGTAAAGTGACAGTATCTTGGATTAGAGTTGGGACTCTTATAAAGATTTTCTGACATAGTTGGTAGACCTCAGTTTAAGAAATATTAGCTACCACTATATGCCTAATACTATGCTTTTTCCTTTTTTTACAATGCTAGGATGCATTTATCTTTTTATCAGAAATTGCAATGGTGGAAAACACGTAATTTGGGAAATAAGATTATGAGGATCTAAAGCCCAGCTCTGCTACTTACAGAACTCTGAAGTTCTAAATCCTCATTTTTAAAAAAAATCTCTTATATGGGAATAAAACATCTACTTCAACAACTTTCAAGGATTAAGTGAGGTAACATATGCACAAGTGTTTCGTATGGAGTTATCGCCACTGTTAGATGTTATTACCCCAAACAGATAATTATGAAAGGTTTGACTATACTGTTTTTGTTAATATTAATACATCTGGGAACCATACTTTTAAATTTTATAGGCTAGATTTCAGTGACACCATATTAGAAGTCTCTGCTTTATTTTTACCATCTTCTTGAATTTTTGTGTATTAAAATACGTTAAAACTCAGTGCTAAATATCAATCTTGAAATACTTTTAGTCATTTTACTTGTTGAAATGTAATAGCAAATAATTTTTTGCAGAAGGTAATAGGGAGTGCGATTTGCGCACAGTGACTATAACTTTTGTATTTGCCTTCTTAATGTATGACAGATGTGGAAAGACAGTTTGTCTCACCCCACCCCTGAACACTGGGTGCAACATATGGCACTGAATCAGATTACATTGTAAGTGACACAGTAAAATACATATCCATGAAAGGAGAATCCATGTTTGCTGCTATTTAAATATTTACTACTTTATTCAGCATGCATCTGACTTTTATTTGGCTAAGAAAATTAAAATCCTAAAGGTGAATACAATTTTCTAAAGAAATATAAATTTTATCAATCTCAAGGTTCCTGACAAGGATGCATGTATATTAAATTTTTAGTGGCTTTAAAAGTTAGTATCTGCACGAAAACCCTGTAGAGAGGCATTAACAAGATGTCTTTGTACTATGGCAACTAGAGTAGAAATAGTTTTGCGGTCTGATGAGAAACATGACCATCATGATAAATCATGCCATCCTCCCAAAAGAGGTCTGCACAGTTTATTAATGAAGATATCGTAACTATCAAACTGAAAAACCAAACGTACTTTATTCATGGACTTTATACCATTAGAAATGTTTAAACAGCTGACAGAAGCCTCATACAGATGAGCAAAATCAAACATCGCCACTATAGATGGTAGTGGTAAAACAGTAGGTTGTAAAATGGCACCAAATGGAAGGTGGTTTAAGAAAAAAAACAAAACCACTGAATCTAAGAATCTGGCCATCTTTTGTTTATATTAAGCATAAAGTGTGTCAAATTCCTACACAGAAACTGATCATACCCCCTCTACCCAACCCTCACCCCCACAAAAAAAACTGCAGAAGCTGGAAACATCTGCAGCTTTTATACATCAAAAGAGTTCCTTACTTAACATTGCTTACTGTGCTTTGAGAGAGCTGACGTTGTGGATTTGAGATAACAGTTTCTTTAAACCTCTCCTGTAGTCAATTCTTGTCCTTCTTTTCAGAGTTAACGTGAGAAGGCCTGAGGAAAACAGGCTGAGGCACCAGCACTGCTTTCTACCCCTCTGTCCTCAGGCACAAGTTGAGGTTTACATACCAGGAAGAGAGATTCTCAGGGGCAGTCCCTCCACGGTGGTGCTTCATTACTCCCCAGTGACACCCAACTCACCTTTTAAGGCTATGACATCAGCACCTCAAAAGAGATGTCCTTGCCATCTGAGAATACAGCAACAATGAGCAGATGGCAAGCCCTTTGGAAGTGGTCTTTTGGAAGTTCAAAAAACTATGCAGTCCTATAGGCAAAGGTGGGAATGTTTTCTTCTGGGGCTGGGGAAATTGTTGGCGTTAGAGAGTCAATCAGAAGGCAGGAATGTTCCCTTACTCTGTCACCTTTAAATGTAGAGAGATCAATCTCCAAGTAAGGGGTTTATTTGGGAATATAAGAATTACAATTGTAATTCTGGGCACACAAACCAGTGTAGCCTCTAGGTGTGTTCAAAGAACAAAGAGAAAGGCTGGGGTTTTATTGGGGAAGAGAGGAAGGTGATCTAAATGGTTTTGGATGAAAGTTCACTGGAGCCAGGAGTGTCTTGTAGGATTTAGCAAGTTCTGATTGGTAAGTGGCAGCAGCTACTAGGTAACTTTATCTTAAGGTTCGAGTGAAGTCTTCGTGGCTTTTCTGTTGTACTGAAAAATCAGTTCCTTGAACAGGACCTGGGTGCCTTTCCCCATGGCCTCCCAACTCCATTTTAGTTGGGTATGACATGAATGACTCATTTGTAGAATCAACTTTCACACTTTTGTTGTTACAGAGACAGGGTCATGCTCTATCACCTACGCTAGAGTGCAGTGGCCACAATCGTAGCTTACTGCAGCTTCAACCTCATGGGCTCTCACCATCTTCCTTCCTCAGCCTCCCAAGTAGTGGGGATTACAGGTGCACCCACCACACCCAGCTCACACTTTTAAAAGAGAACATTTGGATAGATGATTATTTACCATTTTAGGAAACTTTTGTTCACTAATGAATTTCATTCTTGCTCGATTATCCTTGTAGAAGGAAACATAGCACCATTTTTGCCTCATAAGCATTTTAATTTCAGCACACCACAGCTTAGAAATTTGGTTCTACTAATAACACACATGTAAATGGCAGAGAATGAAACTTTCAAGTAATTGACACAGGCTCTAAGGAACTCTGCTAGAGGAAGGAAGTACAGATGCTCCTCCATTTACGATGGGGTTACATCTGGATAAACCCATTCTAAATTGAAAATATCGTAAGTTGAAATTGGGTTACATCCTGATAAACCCACTGTAAGTCAAAAAATTGTTAAATTGAAGCATTGTAAATTGCATCATTGTAAGCTAGGGACCATGTATAAAAGCATCATTTGTTCACCACGGCCCCTGGGATCTCACTGCAGCTTGGGTAATGAGAAATGTGCAATTGGTTCAAAAGTCAAATAACCTCTCTCCTGACAACCATAATTCATTTTACCAGACATTTTTCACTGAGCATTAAGCAGCACAAATCCAAATGATAACGTGCAGGCCAGTTTGCAGGCCTGTATTTTAATCCACCTTGGGTGTGAGTGCGCGGACACACATGTACACAAATACAGATACACACACACCAGAAAAAAAACAAAACCAAACCCTGCACATTTCATCATCTAAATCTACAGCATTTTATAGAACTATGTACTTTTAAAAACTAACACCCTGGTGCATGTGCGTACGTAATCTTTTCCTGGTCAATACGGCAATTCTGATTTATTTTAAAAGACGAGAAAAAAATAAAGACTTTCACCAATGGGTTTATTTAAAAGGAAGCAAATTAAACAAAACTATGGTGATAACAGCAGATGTCTAGTTATAATTCATTTCCCTAATGCTGATTAATATATTCATGAACAAATCAAATGTATTGCCAAAAGAAGAATGCTACCATTAACACCCCAGCGGCTACTGGTTTCAGTTGTGCTTCTCGATCAGGCAAAATGTTCTTTCTTAAGCTCCTATTTATTTTGCTTCCTGCCAATCTCAAAAATAATTCATCTTGTGTGTTGTTTCCTCATAAACGCTTCCTGGTGCTTGATTGCTTTGCCTGTGTCACATTTGATTTCAAACTGCCATTTTACCTTTATAAACATTTGGAAGTCTAAGCAGGAGGAGAATGGCCAAAAGGCATACAAAAATAAGGCTGTAATTAGATCGGCAGAGTGTGTTTTACGGCGTATCTAGCTTTCTGTGTATACCAGAAACCTCTCTTTGCATCCAATATTGCATTCCCAAGTGGGGTGCAGAAAGTAAATTAACATCTGGGGACTCCAGCAAACAGCCTCTGGTATCAGCATGTTTAATTTATTATTATTGCAAAAGAACAGTTTTTCTTATGATTAGTGAAATAGAAAACTCACAATATATTTAAGAGTCTGCCCCCAAACCATTACAAAGGGATTGGGGGAAGAGAAAAGCAGAAACCAAAAGAGAAATAGAAGTAATAATCAGTTATCACATGATTTTTGTAGTAAACAATAGAATATGATGTGCAATAGTGCAATTTTCCTTTGCTAGTCCAGCAATGCAAGTAAGTCTTAATAGGAAGTCCACTGATGTTACTTTTTGTATTTCGGGATTTAGTTGCGTGCTTGCCGGGGGTTCGAGTTCCTGCCAGACTTCTGACTCTGAGTGGAATCACTATTGCTAGAATCACTTTTACTGAGTCCAAGATGACGAAGCTTCATATCCCAGCGCTGTGAAATGTAAAATAGAAAATAGTCACAAGCACATATCACCAGGGTCATCACTGCCACAATTCTAACAACTGGGTCAGACTGAAGGTCAGATCTCTGAAACATTTTGCTACTTTTCCAAAAGTATAAATCTATCTCCCAGGGTAACAAGAAAACTGATGCAATATGAACATTTTTCTCTGATTTTAATGAGTGCAAAGTTGCCCATCTATAATATATTTAGTAATGCTTTCTTATCAAACCTTAAACTTAAAATGTCCATGTCTGTAAATGATGACAGAAATATCTCCCTATATCTCTGGGTATTTCCTGAGGTAACAGCCAGGAGGCTAATGCTTCACAGGTACTCAACAAATGGAAGATTTACACACAGAATTTGAAGGGAAGGCTATTTTTCAACATCCTCTCTTAATACACGTAAGAACATAGCCTTTTAAAATCTATGTGATTTGAGCACTGAAAAACAATGGAAATTTTTTTGAGGGATGGGGAGGTCTCAAAAATATTTTTCTAAGTAATATCCACCAAGTACAACGAATAAAACAGACAAGGTCCTGCCCTCATTCTAAGTGTTACAAAGCAGGCATTAACAATGTTTTTAATAAACGCAATCAAGTTTAGTAACATTTCATATTAATGTCAATAATGTTTTTATGTAATTTAAGTAAAATGGAAGTTATATTACATGAGGATAGGTAGGGAATACAAACTATAGCTGTACTTCCCAAACTTTAGACACAGATATCATAAGGGGAATTTGTTAAAATTGCAATTTCATTCAGTAGGTCTGAGACAGGGCCCAAGATTTTCATTACTAACAAGCACCCAGGTGATACCTATGTTGCTGGTCCTGGGACCACACTTTAAACAGCAAGGACCATCAGATCCTTGGGCCAGATGGCCCAAGTTCAAATTCTAACTCCACCACTTACTGTGTGAAGTTTCTTGAACTTACTAGACCTTATTTTCATCATGTATATATTGGAACTGATAATAGAATCTACTTATAAGTAGAAGATACATCTGAAGATTGATAAAAATATAAAGTGCTTAGCACATAGTAAATTTGTTATTGTTTTTCCATTATTGAAAGTAATTCTTCATTTTAGTATACTTTACTCCACAATCTTGTCTTCATATTTTAAAAACAGCCTGATTCTCACCTTCCCAAGGAAGTCCAAACATCTTGAATAATCTGCTTTAAGAGACTTAGGTAAACAACCATTTGCATGAAAAAAACATAATAATAAGGTTTCTATAAACCTTATTCTTGATTTATCCACTGAGAGCAAAACTCAGCGAAGAGCAAATTTGGTTGAAAAAATAACACCCTCCATAAAGCTCTTTTTACACATCTTCAAATCGACTGGAAAACTAAAATAGGAATCTCAATAATTCTGGCCAAAGGAGATTTTCTACCCAAACTCTTTAGCCCTCAATATCTGCATATGAATTTAAAATTGTTCAAATCATTCGTTTCTTTCCTTTAGAATATTTAAATCCAGACTAAGAATATAAATGACTTTACAATAATAACTCTGCAAGTCCCCTGCAGAAAACAATGGGAAATACTGCAGAAAGCAATGGGAAACAGGACAAACAAGCCATGTATCCTGTCAACAACCCAATGATATTGTTTTGGTACCAAAAGAGGAGCAGTAAGCCTTGTTACATGCTTTGCAGCAGGGATATTGAAAGCTCTTCCAACTGGTACAGGAATTTAGGACAAATTCCTGTTCTGCATTAGCAAGCAGAAAACCAAATTAAAAAGACAGTAAGAGATTCCAACATACTGAACAAGAGCCACTTTTTTCTTTAATAAACACCAAACTAATTGAAGAGAGATGCAGAGAGAATGCCCACAAGTCTGAACTTGAAATGCATCTCACTTTTGACAAATCTACTGAAGGGGGGAAGAACTTACTGGAGGGTAGCTTCTCCTTACAGAATAATGCCCTCTGCATTTTCGTAGATCACTTAAACCCAAACGTGTCTGCCGTGTCACGTGCCAGATGTAGAAGATAAACCGCCCAGGGGTGTTTAACTTACCATGTAAATGTTTCCCAAGCCTTCAGACTTGCAGAAGGAAGAGGATGTATTATGTGTGCTACAGTTCCCACTCCCCCCACCCACCCACACATCCTTTGAGATTTTTTTGTCCCCCTATGCATTCCCCCACCCTATTCCTTTCTTTAAAACAGATTTGCTTAGTGCAGTAAGAAGAAACAAAACCTTCTATAATACAGTAATGTACTATGTGATTTTAAAAAATGTATCAACTCCACAATCTAACAGTTATTGGCTTAAAAATAAGGCTACATTACTGCTCTAAGGACCTAATTTGTTCAGATCTTTTATACAGAGATGAACGTAGCTACACTTTGTACATAGGAATTGGTGTTTATTCATTGGACATCATTGTTTATTTTCCTTCCCATCATTTATTCTCCCCTTCTCACAAACTGCAGTGTGTTCAAAGAAGCAATATCCCCAGGTTTAAAAAGGACTACATTTCCTAGCCTGTTTTGCAGCTAAGTAAAAGTTGCTTGATGAGGCTCTTGGAAATCTCTTTTACCTCCTCTTTTTCCTGCCTGAAATGTAGACGTGAGATTAGAGGCAGAGCAGCCATCTTGTGACCTCCGGTCACATGAGTATGAAAGCGATGCCTTTAAAAATGGTAGAGCCATAAGCTGGAAGGAGCCTGACACCATGGAACCACCTGACCAGGACTGTACTACAGCTAGACTCCTTGTGAAGAGACATTAGGGCAACTGTAGTTAGATCTCTGATACACATACAGGGAACTCATTCCTTAAATAAAATAGACATGAAAGACAAATTCAGCTCTTGGAGTATATAAATATATGCATACTAAATTTTAATATTTCTCCTATGGTTGAAGGCAGCTATTTCACTTCAGTGACAGATGGCTGGTTTTCTACTTTTGTTTTCTGTGTATTACTTCAAATATAAAATCCAGGCTTACCTTAACTTTTTTACCAAGTCGATCCTTCCATTTCTCAGCTATAGAGCCTTCCACCAAGAGTAATCTGATTTTTAAAAGAAGCAACCATTTTTGAAAAATTAAAACCTGTTACTGAAAAGTACAAGAAAACAGTGCCAAGAAAGACTTATATGTTTATTCTTGAATAGGACAGCTAAGATTTAGAACAGTAATTATTAACCATTTGTGAGTCACAGACCCCTTTAAGAAACAAAGGAAGTCATGGTCCCTCTCCCAAGAAAAATGTAAACCTATAAACTGCACACATACACCCATTCCATATATGAAATCAAGAAACCCAAGTAAAACTTATCTGTAATCCCCAAGAAGGTAGACAGATCCCAGTGTAAAAATGCGAGGGTAAGATCTCTAGAGAGAAATGCAATGAGGGTGGGATGAGCAAAGTAGTTATTCTGTATCCTTAAAGAGTGAATTACCTGGAACGTTCCTCATCTTCATAGCCCATGATGATATATTCCTCATTAACATTAAGTGGAGGGCAGAGGCAGCCAGAGCTGGTATAGAGGTTGACAGTATCCCGTGGAATGTTTACCAGAGAAGACTTTAGAATCTCCTTCACTTCCACTACTGCAGTCACATCATGGCACTTAGTCTTTATCTCTTTAACTTTAGCCCGAATGACTGGGATAAAAGACAAGAAAAACTGATAATAATATGACACCTAATAGGTGCCCCATTCAAAAAAAGCCAAAGTAGGCTTCTCTTTGGTTAATTCTTATCCACTTGATATTCAATGAATGGAACAGAAAAGTCAGCCAGATATTTTTGCCTTAGACTGTAGTGTATGACATAAAACAACACACCTGACCTCCTAATGCCCAGCCCTTCTCCCTTTCCAATTTGTGGCTATGTATATATTCACATGTATTTATGCATGTGTGTGCATGTGCTTTTGAGAAATTCATTTAGAGAATCAAAAATTGAGTCAATAATCTGATATAATTTTTCTCTAAAATTCCATTTTGGATGTGTATATATGCATGTGCTGTTCCAATTCCTGCCAACAGGAATTTAAACTATGTTAATTTTACTGTATGAAAAGACCTAGTACTTAAATACGCTTTATTCCTTGTTGACATTCTTTTATCAAGTTTATTAACAGGTTTTCTCAAGTGGTGGCCTCTTTAGTGTTATAAAATTGTCCTGCTCAATAGTGTTCCCAAACTGGTTCTCCAATCTTTTCACCTTCCTCATCTCGGCTCGCTGTTCAGATATTAGCTCCTTTCTTTCTTTGTGGTCAGTACAGATTATCTTTTATATTCTCCTTTAGGTGGGCTACATTTTCTTCTTTGTTCAGATATTAGGTCCTTTTCTCCTTTGTGCTCAGTACAGATTATCTTTTATATTCTCCTCTAAGCGGGCTATATTTACTTCTTGAATAAAAATTGTCACCACTAGATCTTATTTCCTCCATCTGCTTTGAAGTCAGATACTCCAACATTCCTTTCCCTCACGTGCTATGGAATATATTCTCAAATGTCAATAGCACTATTCTACCTCTCTTGATGGATATATTGGCACCCAATTTATCTCACAAGAGTTGTTTTACTTATCAATGTAACAACACATTGCCTTCAGTTGCAAAGTTAAAGTATGTGACTCAGAATCTAGAAAGTACAGATCTGCTGCTTTTCTGTGTCTCTCCCTTTTAAAAGAGTCAAGTTGTTGAGATTCCTGCTTCTAGTAAATGAGCTTTTAAAAAGAGAAGTTTTAAAACACGAAGAAAGAAGTAAAAATGTCAATTAGTGAAAAGCCAATGGCATTTCTCCCAGTGCCCTCATTGCTCCTGTTCACTATCCATGGACATTATATAGAGGAAAACATGGTTTATCCAAATGAGTCAATGTTTCAAAAACTTCTTAGGCACATAATTGCAAATCACTTTAATCTGAGTACCTTCCCACGTATTTTAGAGGTTTGGGACTATAAAGGATTAGAAGAAAGTAATCTGTGAAAAATATAAAACCAGCTGATCAACCATTCCCCCCATTAATGCTCCAATTTCATCACACAAACTTATTCTACCAGTACAACACACACGACAGAAATTAAATTACTAATGAATTCTAAAAGCTGCACATTTCAGTCTTCAGAGAATTGGTTGCCTCAAATATGAGAACGTGTAGTAAACAAACTGTAACTACCCAACTGTCCTCACTTGGTTTGACTGGCAAGTGGAGCCCCTTTCTATTCATGTTCTCCCTATTCTGTATTTAACAAAAGATAAGACTGCCCTTTTTGAAATGCCATTTGGGAGAATCAGATGAGACATTCTCAACCCCAGCTAGCAGGCATTTTTGTGTGTCCTGGCTTAAGTGAACGTGCTTCATAGCATCCATCAGCTATTAGAGATTAGTGAACTGTGCAAATGTTCTCAAACTAATGATTTATTTACCCAGTGTCTACTATTTTCATTAGAAATTTTTAGTACATGTACCCATTCCAAAATAAATATCTTTCTACAAGACCTACTTTTTCACTCAAGTAATTTTGTTAACACTTAAGGAGTTTTCCCCAGAATTAATCTAAATGAAATAGAGGTTTTGTCTGAATTTCCAACTGCTCCCACCTTGACTTGTTTTCTCAATGGACACAGGAAGATAAAAATATTTTGGAAGTAAAATATACTTCCTTTTCAGAGTTCTTCCTTCTATTTAATCATTTGAGTACCTCCCTTTCCCAAAGAAACTGTAAGTAAAGCCCAGACAAATGACAATCCTGAAACTATGATCAACTTAGCTATTCCTTGGCTACAAAAAAGAAATTATCTACTCCTTTCCATTAATTATAATCCATATCCCATTTTATTTTACGATATTCATTCAGCTACCTTCTCTACGATCTTCATTTTCCATGACTTGTCATTCAACTTTTAACAAAAATAACAGCAACAACCATTGCAGCACTAAAGAAGCTAGATAAAATAAAACTTGATAATAGGATACACAAAATAAATATAAATAATTACATTTCCCTGATATAAAATGCATATGTTTTTATTCTTAGTGTTACAGTATATAAAAGTTCATATAGCATTTTTCAATCTTAACAAGCTAATCTCCTAGAAATTAAGGCCTCCCTTTTCCCTAGGGTTCTTCACATCAATCTGTAAAGAAGCGGGTTCTTAGATAAGCAGCCAGGCATTTGACTTCTTACATAAACATAACCTTACAAACTTAGAAAGAGCATCCATCATTGACCAAGAAAAGCTACATTCCTCTTAAGAGTAGTAGCAAACAAAACATAAAAATTAATTCCATTGAAGAAAAACTTGGGAAACAAGGTGGATTTGTTTTAAAGAGATTTAACTAAACCAAAAATTTTCAACTGTATATTTTTTAATACACTGCATTTTGAAAGATATTGAAGGTAACTCTTACAGTGTTATTCATTTCTCTCCTTTCAACTCCCAAAAGTATAGAAAAAATAAATCTGCTCTATATATCCTATATACTTAAAAATAGTGTACATAAATGCAATAATAAAACCCTTATTTTAATAAGGTTCATTGTAAAATTCTGTTTAATCTCCATGTTTACTCATTGACTCAACATCAATAGTCTTATGCAGAGATAGTAACATACCTTTTATTAATACCATAGATATTAGAAAAAATCAAAATGCCTATGGAATACAGTAAATATCAGTCCCTTATGTGTCAACTGGAAAGCACTGTTAATAGCTCTTTCTAAATATAATGACTGTATAAATGAATTTATGACTCTAAAATATACACCAGCATCCAAAAGTACATTGTGAACAATCAAAGAAGGGACAACTTAGGTTCAATAATCATTGATAAAATCGGGACGGTAATATAGCTCATGGGGCAGCTGAGAAAATTAAAGATAATGTATGGAAATCACTTAGCACAGTCCCTGGCTCAAAAATGGCAGGCTTTTTAATCCTTCAGTTAAGTTTGTCAGCTACATTTGGATTGGTGGCCCTTCAATTAATATTTACTTTATTAGAATGTCGGATTTTAAGTCAAGCTAGATAACAATACATTTCCTTAGCTGAATACCAACAACTTCTACAAGTGTTACTTTCCAAATTTGTCAGTGTTTTTCATGGGATAGGCTGACTGAAGAAATCAAGTTTGAGTCTTTCAACAGTTCCTTATACATCAAAGTGCTCTGCTGTTCACCCAGTGAAGCACAACTGATGGCCTATGCAACCCAACTTGAGCTCAAATCCTCCTTCAGCCTCCAGGTAGGGAAGAGTCCCGTCTATCTTGATCTCTGTGTACTTAAGTGTATGACTGTAGGATGACAATACTGCCTGATATGCTTCAGCATTAACCAAGTGTTAAGCATTTTGCCCATGTGAGACATTTTAATTGGTTGGGGCAGAGGGAGGGACTACGCTCCTAAAAGTTGTCCTTCTGTTTTTAAGCCTTACTCTTAAATGGCTCCACTCATTTACGTGTGCACATATTCATGGATGCACCCACACACCTTTCTTAACACAGCAGTTTATACGTCAACCATGAAGTTTTCCTTACCATAGTTGTAATTATTCCGGAAATAAATCTTCTGTGTAGCTCTAATAGGCTTACATTTACAGCGCTCTGAAAAACACATTTTAGTTATAAGCACATTTCCAATATTAGCTTTCTTTTGTTTACTCACATTTTTTTGCTGAGACTAGATCTCAATTTGGTGGTGAAAAAGTTCTTGTCAGTTCTGTGTGTCTGGCCTTTTTCTCCTGAAACTACATTCATGTTTATTCTATCTACACGTCCTCTTATTCAATGTCAGTATGCTCATGAGAATGAGTTTCCATTCTCAACAAACCACCCAAATCCTGAGGAAATGCTATTCACCCCCATGCATGAGAAGAGCATGACCCCTTAATCCTGAAAGAGGTATGCTTCATGCTTATGGAAATGTTAACATTATGAATGCCAACTGGCAGGCAATTTTCTGCCTATGCTCAGGTAGCTGGTTTACCCTGTGGACTACCACCTAATGTTCATATACTTTTAACAGGTGACACAGCACTCCTCCTACTATTAGTTCCGAGATCTGAAAGCAACTCAAAGAGATAAGCAAGTGTTATTACAACCCAGTGAACTTGGTGAAGTTCTTAAGAGGGTCAGTGAGCCTCTTCTATAGGTAAAATAGCTACCATTCAACTCAATGGTGTTTTGGGGCTTGTTGGAGGAAACTATGCATGTATTTTGAGAAGAGACACTTCATGTTTTAAAAATATTTGGTGAGTAGTGACCAGAATGCATATTTTATGTATATATTAGGTTGGTACAAAAGTAGTTGTGGTTTTGGCCATCATAATAATAGCAATTCTAATTATCTCAAAATGTTTCATCTATAGGGTGGATTCATTTGACATCTTGGAGAGTAGATTGTTACGCCTTTTATAGAAGAGCAACACAGTTAAGATTACTTAGCTAAGAAATATACGTCATAACTATGGCAAATTGTCAGGAATTAATGTCAATATAAAAGTAGAAAATAATACACAATTATCTTAAAATATTTAATTAAATATGAAGATTTCTTTAAATAATGCCCCTGAGAAAGCTTTATTAAAAATCAAATGGTATGTGCTTCTCTTTTGACACAGAAAGGAAATAAGAACACATAAATTCGAGAAAGGACATCAAGAAAAAAAAGTTTCGCTTAAAAGGCATTTTATGGCTGGGCACGAGGGCTCACTCCTGTAATCCCAGCACTCACTTTGGGAGACCAGCAGGGTGGGGCGGTAGCTGGGGGAAAGAAAAATCGCTTGAGTCCAGGAGTTCAAGACCAGTCTGGACAACGTGGCAAAACCCCATCTCTACAAAAAAAAAAAAAATGCAAAAATCAGTGGGTGTGGTGGTGCGTGCCTGTAGTTTCAGCTATTCAGGAGACTGAGCTGGAAGGATCACTTGAGCCCTGGAAGTCAAAGCTGCAGTGAGCCAAGGTCACGCCATTGCACTCCAGACTGGATGACAGAGTGAGACCCTGTCTCAAAAAAAAAAAGTTGTTTTATGTTAACATGGGGAACAATAAAAGGTAGGAGCTTCTGTTGACCACTGGTATTTTCTAAAGAAGATTAATTTTATTTCCAGTTGAACTTGTTGATAATACACTTTAAAGTAGCAGTCCCGAAAAGAGTATCACCTTTCCTGCCAGAGAAATAAGCATCTTTACTGGGGAGAGGTAGCAGCAGCAACTGTTGCTCTTGCCCATGACAGAAATGAGAATTCCTCAATACCACACACAGCTCCTTCCCTTGTTCTCCTGATAATTTTTAGCACACAATTTCTGTGAAGATCTCAGCCAATAAACAATGAGTAACATTAGTGCTTGTTGCTATTCTGACAAAAACTATTCCAAAAATAACTTTATTAGCAAAATCATTGTATTCTCATTTAGAAGAGAACAAAAAGTTACCCAGTTTTTGGCTTTCCGTACAGTATTTTATTCTGTACTAAAATGTTATATGTATTTTTAAAGAGATATTCTTTAGATGAGAATATTTCTGAAGACATAAATTCTATGGTATTAGTTTATAAATTATCTTCATCCATATTATATATAGACTTGTGATGTTTCTATTAAAAATAAATATCCACCAAAAATAATGCATGCCAATAAATTACACATTTGTAATTCTTCAGAAATTTGCGTAGGTTAAAATAAAAATTATTGGCAAAAACTATAGCAACTGTTACTGAATTGAGTCTAATTTGATGCTGTTACTTACATATCTTTGCTTGGAGCATAAACAAATGGATTCCATAAAACTTTCCAGGCAGGGATTTTTAAAAATTATATTATAAAATGATTTAGTAATATTTCAAGTAGGCATTTACAAAGCTATGCATATAACTACATATACATAGCTAGACTATTACCTAATAGCTAATGAGCTAAGCAAATATTCTCAGGACTAAATTTTGCTCATCTGCAATATGCTTCTTATTTCTGCTGGTCTCCAAGGTGACAATGCCATACTAAATATATATTTTAAATATTTATATGGGATAATATGTCCCAATCCCTAGCTCTTGACATAAGCAAATTATCTGTCTAGTTCAAGTAGCTTGAAAAAATAACAGTAATAAGGAGAAGCTGAGTTTATATCCACAAAGCTCAAATATGAAAGAACCTCCTCCCATTTATGCTTGTTCAACCCAAACATTCATATCTTAGGTTATTCATGAAAAGTGTAACTTAGATCAATAGATCTGAAACATAATCCTCATCTAAATTATGTTTACACACATCAACATATACATCCCCACAAGCCTAAGAGCTGCGAAATTGTGAAGAATCATAGAGGTATGTTGCATCCATTAGCCGTCACCTTCCTTGCACCGGCTACTGTAAATCAGATGTAACAGTTTATTTTTATTATCAATAGTTGATTTCTTGATACTCTTTTAGGGGGGCCTGTAGTATTACCATCATTTCTAGTTTAATTGCTAGTAATCTTTGGCAAAACCTAATGGCACAAGCTTTCTAAGTTTTGGCTTTTAGAATGAAAAAATGAAATCTATTATTTACTGAGCTTAGCACAAAAACCATTAGATACTGATTTTTCTGTATTTCACTGTTGAGAAGAAAAGCTTATAAATGAATTAGAATCTGCCTTGGTGCTTTATCTAAGGAAAGAAATTTTTTAAAAGTTAAAGGAGTTGATTTTGACAAAACAGGCTAAGAAGTGACAAAGAGATCTTCAAACACAGGCAGTTTTAACATTAGCAATTCATTTACCTCAAAGCCTGGAATTCATACAATACCTTCAATTGTGGGACAGAGTGCAGTGCTACATCTTAGGAGCAGCCATGGAAAGGACAGAAAACTGTTTTCAGCTTAGTTCTTCCTCACGTTCCCTCCACTCCTCTTGCTTGATGTTTCTAGTGACTCTCCTAATATTAATGATCTCCTACATATCTGCTAATGAACCTGGAGACTGTTTATTACCTAGTAGAAATGTAAGTTCATCACTCTCATAGAAATCTGAGTTTGCAAAGTTAACACTCCCAGTACTTTGCAGAACTTGGTCTGCAATGCAAGGGAAATGCCCCATGATACACACGGTGCCCGAGCGGTGAACAGCCTCGCGGCCTCACTGTGGCTTCTTATAAAAATCAAAATAGTTCAGAGGAGACAAGAATCTTAGCCTTCTTTGTTCTGTTTTGCTCATACAAATATGCTCATTTATTTTTAAAAACCATAAGGATACTAGTATTTTTGATATGATCTTAGAAGAGCTAAAGAAGTCTAAGTACCTGATACAGCTATGAAATATGATACTCACTGGACCGTCACTGTTCAATGCAACCTTGTTTGAGTTCAAGCTTAAGTGTGATAAAACTTTCTAACTATCCCTGACCTTTGTTTGAAATTGAATGCTTCTGGGTCTTATCCAGAGCTGTAAGACTATATTTAACTTCATCAGATCCCCAAACTCTCATAACCTTTCACGTACCATGACTTCGGAGGACTACTATGTTTGAGTGGATATTTTTCTGTTTTTTCTAGGAAAAAAACCCTTAGATCTGTGCTCAGGATTTATTGTCAAAAAGTATGGGGAAGGAGAGAAGAAAATACAATTGTATTTGTGTTACAATTTCCTTTATAACTTTTTCAAGACTGACCCTTTCTAATCAGATCAGACTTTAAATCATTTTAATTTTTACCAGATGCACTCTATGTCTCATATCCTGGCATTTGACCCCTGAAACCCAGTTGTCCTCTTTTCCTCCATTTTAAAACACATAGAGGCAAAACACAACACATTTTAAAAGCTATAAAAAATAAAACTTTATAATTTGAAGATCCAGGTCCTTAACTATGACTTTTTTGCTGAGTTCTAGATCTATATTTCCAACTGCCTGTACGAGGTGTCTATGAGCAGTTCCAAAATTTTTAACAGTTCCATAATTTTTAACATCTGGTAACATCCATAATACCATGAATTTGTCTTTCTTCTATAGAAATGATAGTAATATCCTCTGACTCCACAACTCTGGTATATCCATGCTTCTGTAAATATGAGATGAGAAAGGGAAAGAGAACTAACATTTGTTGAACCCTTTCATTCACTTACATATGAATTCATTCATTCTGCAAATATTGGGCATCTGCTACATTCCAGGCTCTATAATAGGCATGTAGGACACATGATGGGCACTACAGACAATCCAGAAGAGGACAAAGACATTGAACAAAGAAATTATACACAAAATAATTTGTCATATGTGATACATGATACGAAACTAAAACACCATGTGTATGTGTAACAAGAGCATATAACTTAATGACCTAAACTAATCTGGCCTCCAATATACTGTAAGAAAATGATATTTAAAACTTGAAACCTGAAAGGTGCGTCGTAGTTCTCTAGGCAGGAACTACATCTTTATATATAAGATAGAGAACATGAAGTCCATAAGGGAGACTGAGAAGGAGCGTACAGTGGTGTGGACGGAAATATAGGAGAGTGTGGAATTGAAAAAGAGTCTTCCAAAATAAAAGCAAGGTAGTCTTCTGTGTCAAATGACCCTCAGAGCTAAAATGAGTTCAGAGAGAAAAGGTTCCACTAAATTCAACTGGC